AATCATCTGTCATTAATTGTTCCCGCTTCTCCTCTCGCTTTTGTTGTTTCAGGGGGGACCAAGGGAAAATCCAGACCTCCGAACGCTCGCAGGGTATGCTCCGCCATGAATCCATGATTTACTTATCTGAATCAAACATACCAATTACTGTGAAGACCGTCGATGAGATAGGTTGGATCAGGAAAAAGTACCATGCTCCCTCCTCTGATCCTTTGAGGGTTGTGAGACGCTTCCTGATCCAGGCAAATTTGTAGGCGGCGTCATCATAGAAAACCCACGTGCTTGCATGGCGGGTATATATTACGTCCTTGTCCTTGATCATGCTGTTCGGGAGGGCCTTAACCCGGTGTTTTTTTCCCCCTTAACTAATTATCTTATCTTCTAGGTTGGCCAGAAATTTTGCAAGGAAGAAGGTTGAAGCCGTGGTTAGATTGTCCAGTGGAATTTTCAGGTCATCCTTCCCTTCTCCTTCTCTTTTGACTAACAGGGTCTGACCCGAATACATTTTCTTAAGTTTATCATCCCACGAAGGGCAAGGCCCTTGGGGGCTCAATGATTCCCTTTTTTTTTTTTTTTTTTTTTTTTTTAAGCCCAGGTTGTTGTAAGGGTGGGATACGACAACCACCTACGGTAATCGGCCACTCGGTTGTCCACCTTTCCCTCTTTTCCTGACTTGTTCCTACCCGAAAAGAGATGCACAATTCCCTGCTGCTGGAAACCGGGTTCAGCATCTCTGCACACCCTGAGCCCCCAATGGCCCCATCCTTGTGAGAGAGGCTCAGGGCCGCAGCCAGAGCCACTGGGGGGCACCAGTAGGCCCTTTCTTCCCCCTGCCCGTCTCCCTTCCTATGCCACTGCCTGAAACCAGGTCCAGTTTCCCTTGTATCCATTTATGCGCCCGATTTCAATGTCAACACACCATACGTATCTGTCCCATTTCAGAACGGCTATCTTCTCTTCCTGTAATCCAAAATTAGAGCCTGACCTCCCAAACCATGGGGGGGGGGGGGGGGCAGATTAGACACAAGATTGAATTGAGGGACGCCGTTGAGGCATCGCAGGAGAGGTTGCGCTAGCGCTGGCGCCCCGACGCCGACGGACCGGTAGGGCCCAGTTGCCCCGGCTGGACCAGCGCCTGGGGAGAACAACTCCCCAACTGCTGGGCCTGAGCACGTGCCCGACAGGTGCGAGTGGTTTGTTGTCACGTGGCACCTGTTGTTTGGAGATATGGATGTCCTGTGACACGTGGACAGGGGTAGCGCTAGCCGTAGGATTGACGACTGGTTCAGAAGAACCGTGTGAGTGGCGCAACTAATTGGGAGAGAGATGGATTCGGTGGTGGAGCTACAACATCGAGCGGCGGAATGGCTTATTATACTGGAGGAGGGATGCAAGCAACTGCGAACGATAGTTGGGGTGCTCATGCTGCTACGGCAATAGGAGGGGGAGATCAATGGGGGGGCGATCTCTATGGAGTAGTGGTTGGAAGACAGGACCCAGGAGATGCTAGACATCATGTGGGAGCTGGAGGAGGGGCCGGTGTCGACCGGAAGAAGAGATATGTCGGCCTGCCGATCGGACCCTGTACCTCACGCCGTGTCTGTCACCCACAGGAGGGTCGGTCGGGGCTCCTGTAATCTGCAAGTAAACTAGGTTAGTCGAGATCCACACATCGACCACTGAAATCTTTTGGAGACGCGATAATGAGAGACTCACAAACCAGCATTCGGTAGAAACAAATATGTATTTCCATTTAGTCTAAAATAATAGGGTCCTCTGCGTTAGTCCCAGTTCCAGAAATGGATCCCACGTCCAAAATAGGAAAATCAGTTTGAGTCCCGACCGATCTTACTAACACTCTAGGACGGATTCTCCGCCCAATGGGGTGACGTCGGTAACGTGCTCACCGATCCCAGGGGACTGTACTCGAACTCTCCGTGTTGGAGTTAGATTCTCGGGCCCACTGGGGCCACAGTTCCAGATCGAGCTTGACCATGGACACCAGCCCTCCTCACAACCCCTGTCTAATTCCAGTATCCCAGCCAAACTCCGGAGGCCCTCAAACGATCGTAACAGTCCGAAGTTTTCACCCCGAATTTCAATTGTTCTTGCCTGTCTTCAAATGTCTGGTCAGGTCCGATAGCCCCCCCGAACATAAGGTCCGAAGCTCGCTCAAGTCCCGGCCCGTCCAAACCAATCTCAACGCATCCCAAAAAGGCCCACTCCGCCAGACGCCCTGAACGTGGGTCAAGAGCCCGGTGTCCCGATGTCTCGGTCTGTTCGGTACCATGGCTCCGGCTTGGTCTAAACTCGCGGTCCATCCAAAACCTTGGTTTCGTCCAAATTCACAATCCGGTCCCGAGTCTCGGACCCGTCCAAAGTCCCGAACCCGTCCAGTCTGAGTCACGTGGTCCCGACGGTCTTAGTCCCAAAGTCCCGCTCAGCCTGAGTCGCGTGGTCCCGATCGACCTGAGTTCCATGTCCCAATCTGCCTTAGTCTTGGGCTCTGGTCAACCTGAGTCCCTTGGCTTCGATCTGCTTGAGTCCCAAGACCCCGTAGTCCCGTTTCGAACGTGTTCCAAAGGCCTGTTTCACCGAACGCCCAAATGCATCCAAAGGGCACGGTTCGCGCCCGACTCTGCGCGTGCGCACCCGACTGCGCACGGCTACCTGCGCCCGATCCCGACTTCGCGCGTGTGCACACAGTATTGCGTGCAACTACCCGCGCCCGATCCCGACACTGCGCATGTGCACTCAGTGCCCCGCACCCGGATCTCTCTCTGCACGTGTGCACGCATTGGCTTTCTCCGCTCGTGCTCCCGTGCGGCCATGTGTCTCGCACCGTTCTGCAATCCCAATCCCGCTAGCGCGCACCTCTCTCCACTCGTGCACCCGTGTGGGCGTGTGTGCTCGTATCGTTCCGCGATCCCGATCCTGCTAGCGCGCACCTCTCTCCGCTTGTGCGCCCGTGCGCACGTGCTGTTGCACGTTCCCGTTCCCGCTAGTGTGCGCAAGCTCACCCGCGTTCTGACTCCCACCGCGCGCAGGTTCTCCCCCGTCCTGCTCCGTCTGTGCGCTAACGCGCATTGGTGCTCGCGATTAGTCCCCGCGTCCCGGTCCGTCCGTGCGCGAGCGCGCGATTAGTCCTCGCCTCTCGATTTGTCTATGTGCTAACACATGCTGGCGCACGCGATTAGTCCCCGCATCCCGTTCCGTCCGTGTGCGAGCGCGCGCTGGTGCGTGCGATTAGTCCCCGCCTCTCGATTTGTCTGTGTGCTAACACGCGCTGGTGCGCGCGATTAGTCCCCACGTCCCAGTCCGTCCGTGTGCAAGCGTGCGCTGGTGCGTGTGATTAGTCCCCGCCTCCCGATCCGTTTGTGTGCGAGCGCGCGCTGGTGCATGCGATTAGTCCCCGCGTCTCGATCCGTGCGAGCGTTGTACGAGGTAGCGCTCCCATGCGCACCTTGTTCCTATCCATGCGTTGGAGCTGTGTGCAATTCCTCTCGTGCGCGCTCTGTTCCCAGTCGTCCTTCCACTGGTGCTCTTGTGCGCCCGCACCAGCACCAGTCCCAAGTCCCGTCGTACGCCCGCAAGTGCGTATGTGCCAAGTCCCAAGCTCCTGTAGTGCGCTCGTAAGTACGCATGTCGGAAGTGTCCCCACCTTTGAGCCCGGTTGGGCTTATATACTTTGCGGGCCCTCTTCTCGGAGTGCCCCAGCCCTATTATGCGCTCCGGGGCTGCTGACAAGTTGCATCGCCCCAGTACCATGGCTTTCCCGAGCCTGTACCCGGGCCTGTTAGGGACCCCGAAGGGTTTTTAGCGAACGGGGCCTTTTTGTTGGGTACCGGGCCTTTTGCAGTGCCCCGGTACCGAGGTTCATGCCAAACCTATGCCCAACCTGCCGCGGCCCTTGTGGTCCCCACATAGAAAGGTACCAGGCCTTGTCAAATTTTGTAGGGCCCCACCTTGGAAATAAGGTTGCGGCCCGAGGGCCCTTCTCTTAGCCTTAGACCACTTCCGGGTCTACTTAGGCCCCGTCGGTTAAAATCCCAAGTGCGCCCGAGCAGCGTTTTCCCTTCCTATCGGTTCTACAAAGAATTCCAGTGTCGGCCGCCACTTAGTTCACCTGAGGGCTCGTCTCATAAGCCTAACGCCCCCCCTTGTTTGGTTCATCGCTCGGCTCCTTAATGCAATTCGGCTCTCCCGTCTTGTCCCTTTGCCTGGAGCCTCCGACACTTCCTCGGTAATAGTCGCTCATTTATGCCTTGTCAATGATACGCCTCAGTAGCGCGCGCAAAGGGGCGCCTATCCAAAATTCATAGTTCTGGTTTTTCCTGACGCCTCGGCCTCAACATCCGTTGCGCGAGTCTGATATCGTACCTTTCGACGTTGGTTGAGATCCCGTCAGGCAATTTGACTGAATCCAGTCCTCCTTAAGTGTTATCATAAAGGAAGTAAAGGGCGGCGTAAGGCTGGAGCAGCCCGACACCAGATCCCCGGCTCGAGGCCTACATTGACTAAAGGCGAGCGGATGATAGGATGGGCGTCTGCAAGATCCTCTTTATAATGGGTCGCAATCTGCGCAATCAGCTGGAGAATCGGCAGGGAACGGGCGAGATGGGTGACAAGGGTGACAAGGACGACTGGTGGGAGGGCAGATTCAAGGCCGGCGAAGATAATTGCGGCAACAACACTAACAATAGCAAGGATAACAACAACAACAACAACAACAACAACAACAACAACATTAATGACACCGACATCAAGGATATTGACAAACATGATGGCGACAACAACAACAATAACAATGATGATGACCGCCACAACAACAACAACAACAACAACAACAACAACAACAACAACAACAATGGCGACAATGGGGCAGCGACGACCACGGCAGCAGCGAGGTGGAGAACGGTGCCCGTGCATCTCAGATCATCATCAGCATGATGGGAGAGATGCCGCAAGCGGATGGACCCCGATAGTAGGTAGGAGGGTATGCTTTTATCAGCCCTCCTATCTGCTGTCGTGGGTTTGATTAAAAATAAAAAATAAAGAAAAAATGCCGCAAGCGAATGCGGTGGGAATTGGGGCTGACAACAACACCAACGACAACAACAATGATGGCGGCTGTGACGACGATGGCGGCAGTGACGACAATGGCAACAGCAGCAACAACAACAACAATAACAACGACTACAGCGGCAGCGACGCCCACGGCAGCAGCAGGGTTGAGAGCGGTGTCTGGGCATCTCAGATCATCATCAGCATGATGGGAGAGATGCCGCAAGCAGACGTGGTGGGCATTGGGGATGCCAACAACAACAACAACAACGATGATGGCGGCAGCGACGACCACGGCGGCAGCAACGGTCAAGGCAGCAGCGGGGCAGAGAGCATCAGCATGATGGGAGAGATGCCGCAAGCAGACGTGGTGGGCATTGGGGATGCCAACAACAACAACAACAACGATGATGGCGGCAGCGACGACCACGGCGGCAGCAACGGTCAAGGCAGCAGCGGGGCAGAGAGCATCAGCATGATGGGAGAGATGCCGCATGCTGACGTGGTGGGGATTGGGGTTGATATGGATAAGAGGCTTACCATCTCCCCCCCCTTCCCCCCCTTCAACCCCGTTGTCTGGCTGAGGATAGGAGTAGGATAGTCGATGTTGATTGGGTTGCCAGGCCTGCAATATCAATCAACAACGGAGTGCTGATCGTCCCGTGGGATGGAGGTGGGCTGGTTAGGGACTAATATGCAGGTGGTCAATCCTTCCCTTGTGCAGGGAAGTAATCAATGCCCCTGCTCTCTTCGGACAATGGGTAATGGAAGCTGCATTCGCCGTCCAGATCACACAGATTACAGCATTGATAAGGATCACACTCATCATCTCTTTGTTAGGGTTTCAGGTTATTGCATAAAGGAAGCTGGACTTGACGTCCAGATCACACATATTACATCCCTGATAGAAAAAAAAAAAGGGGGTGGGGTTGGGGCCACATAGCGCATAAAGTATCAAAACTCAACTTTTGCAAATGCACAGGGATCTTTGAGACATAGACGGGGGAGTTTATTTGAGTTTGAGAGAGGGGTGCCCAAAACCCTTTCTCACCTAGCATTGTTTTGTGCTGGTATCCTTGAAGGAAGCCCTCCTGAAGAGTCTGCGGGGTACGTGGGCAGCAAAATGCCTTGATGTAACATGCACAAATGTTGTTTATTGAATATTATATTATTCTCTATCCTTCAATCTGCCCTCCCCCCCCCCCCCCTCTCTACCCTTCAATCTATTTTGTACTGGTTTGATACACTCATGCGTGTAGCCATCCAGTTTGGGTAATGGTCTTATGGTCGCTGCTCCGTTCCCATAATCTCTTGACGGTCTTCTTATGTTCTTTAGACTTGCAGAATAAGTATGACTTTCATTTATGCATATATATCTCCCCAGAGGTACCTGGAGATGCTCTTCACAAATGGAGAGCTTCGATACCCCTCTACATTTATATCTTATGAGATGATACCCCAGTCGAAAGTGTCTCCATCTCATGTGCTGGCGCTGTTCATTTCTTTTTTTTTCTTTTCTTTTTGGCTGTTTGCATCTGAGGTGTGGTGTTCTTTTCTTTGTCTGTGGTACAACAGATGGACAATGGTGGCTAAGAAAGGCGTACTTGGATGCAAGATGGGGGTGTGGAGGAAGGAGGGTGGGAGGAAGGAGGGGTGGCAGACGCGCAACCACATTTGTTGTCACAGTGGGGTCACTGAGTCTTCTTTTTCTTTCCTCTTTTTTTTTTTTTTTTTTGAAATACCAGGGCCATTACCTGGCTTCGGCTAGGATCAATCTGAGAATCTGAGAACTTTTGACGAAATTCTAGAAAATTTAAGAAAAACATGAGTATCAACTAACCTAGTAAATCTGAACAAAACTAGGAACAATTAGCTTCCTGCCTGCTATTCCTGGCACCCCCCTACTCTTCCTCATCCCCCAACGAGCCGACCTCCTCCACCACATAGTTCGGAAGACAAGAAACATGTGGTGGAGGAGGTCGGCCCGTCGAAGGGAGATGGAAAGTTGGAGTCCATCCTTAAACCATTATGGGATTTGGTGAAGTTGAGGACGGACTTCAACTTTCCATCTCCCTTCGACGAGCCAACCTCCTCCACCACATAGTTCGAAGAGAGAGAAGATAGTGACAGTCCAATCCAAGAATTGAGAAAATCTTGACTCAAACAAAGGCAGAGAAAACCCCTTTCGCCTCCCCGAAACGAGAGGAAGGGAGGGGAAAATACCCCCTCATCCTGTGGCGGCTCCGGTGTCTATTTGGAGCTCAACTATTCCTGCAGAACTTCACAAGAAAAAAATTGAAGGTTTTTCCTCCCTCAAAACGTCCCCCTGTCCTTACACTGCCTCCGCCGGAAGGTGCCCCCTCACCACACCGGCCCCAATTCAGAACAGCCCACTAAGCGGTCATTCCCGCTCCCTCAGCGACATACAATTCCCCCTAGAGTATGCCCCCGCAGAGCTGGAATTCCCCCTTACCTCCAGTCCCACCCCCTCCCAGTGCGGCAGCCCTCTCTCCTCTCAACTTGCTATATTCAGCACCCCTTGTCCCCTCTCCCCAACCGCCCTACTTATCTGACCCAAAAATCAGCTTGGCCCATAAAGGGACAATCCCACAATACCACCCCTACCCTCTCAAGGACGACACCTCCCACCTTGTGTAGCCCTCGCAGGGAGGAGCTCCAAACCCGAGGAGATAACCCCAATCAATACATGTGAGCCCAAACCCTTCAAAACACATGTTGAGCATCAAGATTTTCATACCCCCAAAAACAGATTACAAATGTGGGCAAACCTGAGAAAATCGCACGGACCAATTACTAAGTAAAAACTGAATTATCAATGAAATCGAAAAATTCATCGGGACATTGGGAAGAGGAAAATCACTCAAACCAGATAAGATTCGACAACATGAACATCCAACTAAGGAACCACAATGAAAAAACGATTTTGATGTCCAACTGGACTTTTGACGCAGATTCCCAGAACTCAGGGTTCGGGGAAACGCTCGGACCGTAAATCAGAAAGTACAAATTTGAAATTTCTAATTAGAAAAAATTAGAAAATTACACAAGATAGGAAAAACAGATTTCAGATTAGGGGTCATGATGATGGTGGTGATGACGAGCATCACTATTGATGATGATTTGATGATGATGGTGATGACGAGCATCACTCATGACGATAATTTGATGATGATGATGATGATAATGATGATGGAAAAAACGAATTTCGGATTAGGGATCATGATGAAGACGTTAGAAATTACACAAGATAGAAAAATTGAATTTCAGATTAGGGATCATGATGATGGTGGTGATGGCAAGCATCACTAATGATGATGATTTGGTGATGACGATGATGATAATGATGATGGCGAGCATCACTAATGACGGTAATTGGATGTTAACTGATGGAGATGATATGATGTTGATGGTGATTATGATGATGATAATGATGATAGTGATGATAGTAACGCACAGTGCCCTGTGATGGCACAGGATGGTGATGGTGCTAACGACGTGCACTTGTGATGATGGACTAGTGATGATGATGATAAGGATGGACAACGCCCTATACCGACGAGTTTTGCCGATAGCGCCCTAATGATGGTAATACTTATGATGATCCTAATCGTAAAAATGATGATGGTGACGCCCAGCGCCAACAGTGATGATGGTAATGACACTCATCCCAATTATAACGGTGCTTACGGTGCAAACAAACCGCGCCCTACACTGGCGGAATTACCTTGTTGCTGATCCAGTGACAAGATATTACTAACTATGATGATGACGAGCAGAACCCTGACGAGCAGCATCCTGACGATGATGATGAAACCCTTACCATGGTGACGCTGTCGAAACTCGCCCTGTTGATGAAGACGATGATGATTCCAAGCAACTCCAGTGCCATGATGTCGTTGAAGATGATGACAACCCACGCGCACTTCAGGTCCCAAGGGCTAACTCCGCTGTGCTCCACAGGCGCAGACTAACCCGATGCCTCATGGCCCTATGCCACGGGCAGAACCGCAGAGGCGATGGGGCAAACGCGGAACTCCCGAGTAACCATCGAGGGTCGGTCTATCCTCCACATCAGCCAGTGACGTGGCCTAGACCAGTGCCTCCAGGCCCTGCGACGCGCTGGAAATACCAACTGGACGGTCGCCACCTCCTGCCATCACCCCGGTATTGTGCTCCAGCTTAGAACCCCGCTGTGGTTGATGCCGGGGCGTTTCCTCACTTTGACTATGACTGTTTTTTTTTTTTTTTTACTTCAGAGGACATTACATGCTTCTGGGTGATCAGGGGCAAAACAACGCTGAACAAACTTGATTCCCTGATTGGCTTGGGGGGGACCAAGGGGGATGGGTGGCCAGGGTACAGTGGGGAGGGGACCAACTGAGAGGAGACCCGCCGTCCAGAGCGGCACAGGGCCCCTCCAGAGATTACCACCTCGTCTTCAATGATTGGACTAATTTTGAGCCCTCCTTACCTATGAGACCCCCTTCTGATTTCCCGGACCCCTTCCCCCCTCACTCGCTTTCTTTAGTCGAGACCCTCACTTGAGGTATCCCGCGCCCATCGGCCAGGAATCACCCCCCGGTGCCCCCCGGGGCAGCAAAAGTTTCTGCAACAGTTTTTGGCCCCTGCAAGTCTGCGAACATCCCGGCGGTGACAGGAAGTGTGAGAAGGAAAGCACAGTCACATTAGAACGAGGTCCTTAATCTGGCGGCCGAACCAGGGCTGAAGAGATGTCTCTGCAATGCTGTCTTCATCACACATTTTCTGTATAAAACAGTGTGCTGTACCACCTGCTCAGTAAATTCCCTGCATGGGTAATCAATGCTGACAGGCCTGCTTGATGTATGATGGAACGCTGGACTGCTCAGTCAATCCTCTGGCTTCCAGAGTAATCAATGCTGGCAGGAGTCCTACACAACCTTTTTCCTGACACACTTCAAATTCAATCTGTGTATGGGACGCTGGACCCGTTTTCCAGCAGGTGTTGCTCCCCAGCAATGGATGGAGCCTCTCCTCAGGTGCTAGTGGCGTCTGCTCTTACCAGCACCACTAACACTGGAAGGGGTGTTTCAAAAAAAAAAAAAATAAAAAAAAAATTCCCTGATTCTACCCTCTTCAACGTATGGTCCTAATAGCCGTATTTGGGCTATCTTTCAGTCTAAATACAGCATTAATGACCCTACCTTGTATCCGGGTGAAGGAGGTAGTTTCTTGTTGACCTCTGTTGGCTGTGGTAAAAACTGTCAAGAAGGATATTTCAACTACCAGTCCTGTTCCCAGCCAATTTTTTTCTGACACGGCGATACGCCATGACTTTGACGCCTCAGCCTGCCAAATCTTTTGCCTGCCAAATCAAAATCCTGCCTGTGCAAGCTTTAGCCCAAACAAACAAACAAACAAAAGAATTGCCCCAGTGCCGGTTCAGCAAAACTCGGCGCGTGGCAGAACTTCGCCTCGGGAAAAAGAGGCCTGGAAGTAGAGGTGGTTAAGGGGTGATCTTGCCCCCGGGGTAGAGAAATGATATGTGAGGGGTTTGTAGCATGAAAGAACATGCCTCTGCAATTGGGTGGGTTGCTAGTGCAGGGAGAGCTCTCAAAAACAGGCAGAGAAACCAGATGACACCTCTGCCTTCTTTTTTGCCTCCTCTTCCCGCCCTCTCTCCCTCCCCGCCGGGGTCTAAAGATCTGACAACAGGCTTGCAAACCAGTTGAAACCTCTGCTCTTTCAGCCCCCTTCGAAAAAAAAAACACAAAAAAAAGATATGACATAATGACACAGCAGCTTTGCCGGCATATCAGTGCTGGGGGGGTTAACCAGGGCTGAAAAGTGAGGGTCCCTGTTAACCGCTTGTGGCATAATGTAGTCCCCAGATCTTGGTATGGTTATGATTGAAGTTTTATCTTGTTATGGTTGGTGGGATGGTTGTTTCTGAGGTAGGAAGAATAGTTAGAACTGGGTCCAGTGTGGGGTGAAGAGGTTCAGAATCATCCTTCACAAAGCACAGGTCTGTCTTTCTTGATTCAAGCATCCTTGTGTAAATGGGACGCTGGACCCTGTTTCCAGCAGGTGCAGCTCCCCACCATGAGTGACCCGAATGGACTCTAGTAGGGGTGGGCTGCTCCTATCACCCAACCTAATAGGGTCCACTGAGTCTTTAATCAAAAACAAGTGGACCTGCCCCAGCTACGCTGCGGCAAAGGACGATGACAAAAACATTTTGCGAAATACCCCCGACATTGGTTGGACCCCATTTTTGCAATGTACCCCTACTGGACACCGTCCAACTTTGCAAAATGCCCCGGTAGTTGCCAACTTTTCCTAGGTGCAATTGCAAAAGGCCAAGGCCCAAACGGGGAGGCTGAGATTGCCAATTTGCACACGCGGCTGACAGGGGCATAAGACAAAGATGTCAGCCCAAAAGGCCATTCCACTGTACCCAGATCTTTCAGGTACATTTCGAAATATATCTCAACTTATGGGGCTATTTGGCAAATTACCAACCCCCCAAAAAAGGCCGATGGCATCTTTTCAACATTTGGAAGAAGATATGCCTGTCCTCTCTCTCTCTCTCTCTCTCTCTCTCTCTCTCTCTCTCTCTCTCTCTCTCTCTCTCTCTCTCTCTCTCTCTCTCTCTCTCTCAGAGAGAGAGAGTCTCAGAGAGAGTCAGTGCTGAACCTCCAGGCTCACCATAGCTGCCTCTGCACTCTTCAATGCTGGTACAGTGAACTCAATCACAGCAGCGTACATGATCGCTTTGAAGTACCCGAATGGTAAACATGCCCACACACCCACGGCTTGTGCCATGGAGCGATGTCCAGGGTGTGTCGCTGTATTGCTGTGGGACCCTCCAACCCGTTATGCCCAGCGCAGAAGAGAAGCAAACAGGGCTTGAATCAGGACGTGTTCGTGCGCAGGTGCAAAAATAGTGCTGCCTGCTTCTTTTCTGCCTATGTGCACATGCTAACGTGCACTTATCGGCGAACACGTCCGGATTCGACTGCTGAGCCCATTCACATTTGCTAGGGGGACTGCGCCATCGGGTGGTACCGGGCCTGCAGCAAGGCGATCACTTCAAATTCATGACCGTGCAGGCCCGAACGTGACGGGGAAGAAATGAAATACAAGCAAATAAACCCCAACCCAAAAAAAATCCCCCCATCTGCTACCAGCGGCGTGACCACGCAGATAGCAGACGGAGCAATTTTCAGGAAGTCGTGGCGATGTCTCATTCTAATTTTGCTGTTTTGCAACCCTTGTGTGAGTATGTGGCACACCTAAATCTCAAAATGGCATTTGCAAAATTGCAGATTTTGCAATTTTGGTCACTCTGCATGAGTATGCCCTAAGGCATACTCACACTAGGGGTCTAATTCTCAAAGTCGCAAAATCTGATGTTGTTTTGCAAATTTGCAGTCACACTTTCCCCCACCCCCAGCAAAATCACAAACAGTGTAGTATTTGTCGGCGGCCTGGTGGACCACGGGGTTCAGCAAATTGCGAGGACCTCTAGAGGTCCTCGCATATTCGCATTTGATTTTCGTAAAAACAAAACAAAACAAAACAAAAAAACTCCGCAGGCCAGAAAACGCAACTTCGTGCCTACTACAGTCCAAAAATGCTTTGTTCAGTTTCCAGCGGGACAGTCATACAGCGTCTGTACGATCTTTGCCGTCCTGCACAGCAGAGTGCCCGTGTGTAATGGGTTTGTCCGTAGTGGTGGAGTCCCTTCCGCCCCCAACTGAGTTCCATACCCGCTTGAGCTGCCCTTCCACCCTCCTCCACAGTTTCTTCCCCCGTTTCCGCATGTGAATAGACTGAATAGTCTTGCCCTCCGCAAGAATAGACATTCATTCCGCTGCCCTCTGCACAGTTTCCGGACCTCCCCCTACTTCCCGGTTTCCATGCTCCCACAGCACCCAGTCTTGCAAGTTGTCCACTTTCATCGGTGCATCGCACCTGGTCTGTTCACCATATGTGACACAGGTTGGAAAATCAGCATCCCGGTGGTGAGATTATGCCGTCAAGGAAACGGCGCTTGTCATAGCCACTGTCAAGTTTGTGTCCTTCATGACAGGCATGACCGTTTCCCTCTTGCTGTGGATGTGCCATGCACCTGTGGGCGCACGTTGTCGCCATACTCCCATTCGCCGCAGAGGGAGGAGACATCAATGCCACTTGGCAGAATTTTTTTAATTTTTTTTTTGTGTGTGTGTGTTTCCTTTTCTTGTTTGTTGCCGCACATGTCTCAAGCCAATGCACTGCATTCCGTGTGGACTGTGAGGTTTGTGGCGACGAGACGAAGTGTAGGCGTGTGGCTATGGTGGACATGCACGTTGTCATCTTCGAAAATTAAACAAGAATCGTATGTTTCTTTTTCTCGTTCTTTTTCTTTCCCTCCTGAATTCGGTTTCAGCGGGATAGTCCATCAAGTCAGTGGAACTCATGTCCTCTCCCCTACATCCTATCGCACAAATAGAGGGGGAGAGGGCACTCGTCCATTCGTGCAATCTATGCCCTCCATCAGTGCGTTCAATCCACTCCGTCGCGCAAGCGATCCCTTCCATTGGAGCGATTGATCGCACCAGTGGAAGGGATCGATCACACGAACGCGGAGAGAGAGAGAGAGAGAGAGAGAGAGAGAGAGAGAGAGAGAGAGAGAGAGAGAGAGAGAGAGAGAGA